GCGAGGTACCCTAGTGACAAGCTGCTGCATAATAAATGCTACAGGGCAATACGTACCTCCAGCTATGGTTTTTCCTAGAACACACTTTAAGGAATATATGATTCGAGGAGCTCCATCAGGGACATTAGGGTTGGCTGCACCTAGTGGATGGATGAATGCAAATTTGTTTTTGCAGATAATGAGACACTTCATTACATACTCCAACAGTTCCAGAGAAAATCCAAGTCTTTTGATTTATGATAATCACGAAAGTCATTTTAGCATTGCAGTTCTCAACGAGGCAAAAAATAATGGGGGAACAATTTTGACCTTTTTGCCGCACTCAACAAATAAAATGCAGCCACTTGGCGTATGTTGTTTCAAACCATTTTCAACAGCATATAATGCAGCCATAAATAATTGGATGATGTAGCATCCGGGCAAACCTTTATCCATATACGAAGTGGCTGAATGTGTTGGATTTGCGCATGAAAAATCCTTAACTCCAAGTAATATTATAAACGCATTTAAAAAGTGTGGTATTTAGCCGTTTAACGCAAACGTGTTCACTGATATTGACTTTCTTCCGAGCGATGGTACCGATCGCGTTTTGCCAAATGGAAATGAAAATGATGAAGCTAATATTTCTTGCCCCAATCAGTCGTCATTAACAAACATAATTCCTCATCAAAATGAAGCTGATGTCTGTAGCGAAGATTGTAATAATGATAACCTTTCTGAAAGTGTCACAGAACAAGACAGAATTCAAGAAACTGAAGATAATTTACCTAAAGTTTTCATAGGTCCAGCAGAATTTAAAGGTTTTCCAAAAGCACGTGCCCGCAAATCTAAAAACACTCGAAGACGTGGAAAAATTATAGTAGCCACGGATACGCCAGAAAAAATGCAATAGAAGAAAGAAGCATAACGAAAGCAAAAAACACCAGGAAGGAAGATAAAACGCAGTTATTAAAAATTAAGAAAGCAAGGAAACAGGTGTTTTATGGTGATTATGAACCCGCAAACGAAGACCCAATTTTATATTCATCATCAGGAGATGAGTGCTTTGTTACTATCCATCCAGATGGATTTGAGAGCTTAAACAGGAGCTCAAAAATAAATGATTTTGTGCTTGTCGAGTTTACAGGAAAATCAAAGAAGAAGAGGATTTATTACGTAGGGCAAATCCTGAATGAAAATGAGTTGGGCCGAAGTTTTGATATTACCTACCTGAGGAACCAAAAGAAGAGAAGAAAGAAATTTGTATTTCCCGATGTTCCTGATGAGTCCGTGGTTTCAATATCTGATATTAAAATAATTATGCCACCGCCAATTCTATGCGGACACACCAGTTATCAGAGATCCTCATTTTCCTTCGAAATCGATTTTAGTTTGTTAGATATTCGATAAAGCATTTTTTAAATTCAGCTTAAGTTTGTTAATATGTTATTGGTACGTTTAACCAAGCCGAAAAATGATAAATGTCTGTTCTAATAGAAAGACATTCGGCACTAGATTATTTTTTCTAAATAGTAAACTACATATTGAAAAAAAAATAAATTTAAAAACTAATAAATAAATAATACAAGGTTAATACAGTGCAAAATTTATACGGTTTGGTCAAATAATAAAAAAATTACATAGGCTGGAAAAAAAGTGTCTCACTGATAGGCGGTCTCCCCTACAATACAGGGTGGTTCAGTTTTTAATCGGGAAACTTTACTAGGACGTAGTACTTGCCAAAATAACACAAGTTTTTTATATAAACATAGGGTCGCAACTCTTTTGTTTTCGAGCTATGAGCGATCAAAGTTGAGCTAAAAATTTACATTTTATTATTTATTTCGGCTATAAGTAAACCGAAGAATTTGAAATTTGGTATGTATTTACTACTGGTTAACATCTTGTTTTCTAGCATACCTTAAGCTTCCCTAGCGCCCTCTAAGGGGATGAAATTCACCACCCCCTTGGTTCTTTTTAGAAGAACTTTTTAACGCAATGCAATATTAACATAGAAAAATATGGGTTGTACAGCTCATTCTTTAGTGGTTCTTTTTTGTCTCTTTAGTTTTTCTCTTAAAATTGATAGTTTTTGCGTAAAAAAATAAAATATGTTACATTGCGCGGCAAAGCGCTACCTACAAATAAAAAACAAAATTTTAAGTTGGCTATGGAAGATGTAAACTTACCAGGATTTTGGGCTAACACAATAACACAAATTATTTACGATTTCGTCTCTTGACTTGTTTTCTCATTAAAGTAATAAAAAATTTAATTAAATTTAAGTTAAAATAATCATTCAAAAGATAAGTAACATTTAATAATAAATTAAATAGTATACTAAAAAAATGGAAATTACAAGAGAAAAATGTTAAAAAACAAACAGAAAACTAATTAAGAATCAAAATGAAACAAATTTATCAAAAAAACTCATTACAAAAATAAACACAATTAATTTAAAAATTGTTCAAAATGCATGCCATTGTTATCAATGCATTTTTGGCATCTTGTAACAACAGAATTAACTGCTGCTAATATTTGAAACGGATTGTTCCTTAAAGTGTTAGCAGCGTCTTTTATTTTTCCCAACAGTTCTTCCCGAGTGTTTATTGGAGCGGCGTAAACTAGATTTTTCATATAGCCCCACACAAAAAAATCTAAAACGTTAAGATCAGGAGACCTTGGTGGCCAGGCAACGGGACCTCGGTTTGCCTCTTGATAATTGACAGGACCTAGTCGTCCTATCCGTCTATGACCATGCACGTACGTTAGCGCTGTAATGCGATGGTGCCCCATCCATCTGAAGCCAATGTTGCTCCAGATCACCTAGAGGAACGTCCGATAAACATTCCGCCAAATCGTTTTGCAAAAAATTTAAAAACATCGTTGCGTTCAAACGAGGTGGCAAAAAATAAGGCCCACAGAGGTTATTATTAATGACACCCATCCACACATTAAAACTAAACTCTGTTTGGTAGGTTTTTGGACGTATTGCATGGGGATTTTCATGCTCCCAACTATGTAAGTTATGGTAATTTACGACACCCCTTCTTGTAAACGTGGCTTCATCTGTCCACAAAATCTTCTTACAAAAATTTTGGTCACGTTCAACAGACTGTACAAACCACCTACAGAAAGTTACTCTTTTAGGACCATCTTCAGGTCTTAAATTTTGTACAGGTTGAAAACGATAGGGTTTCCTGTGGTCCTTCTTCAGAGTTCGTAAAATTGTACTTCTTGAGACTCGTAAATTTTGAGCTTGAAGTAGTCTAGCAGCTATGCGACTGCTTAATGTGCTGTCATTATCAAAAAGGTTTAAAATTGCTCTTTGGTTTCTGTTATTTTGATTATTTCGTACTTGCTGGGTATTTAAACCATATTGTCGAAAACGTTGATGTGTATTGATAAATACCTGAGGATCAGGACATCTTCTATTAGGAAACCTTCTAGCGTATTCTCTAGATGCCGCTTCCGCATTTCCATCACAAAAACCATAAATAAAATGAATGTCTGCGTATTCTTCTGTCGAAAATAATCGTGGCATGATCAATTTTTCGTAGTTTTTTAAACAATGATCAACAATAAAAAAATAATGATACTTTTACTTAATAACAATCAAGAAATATTTTCAATAATTGTCAACAATTAAGAGGATTTAACGTAACTAACAGCTCGTCTCAATACAAACATAAATTGTTTTTTGAAAATCAAAGCCAACTTTTAGAGTAATTTTAGCTAAGCATGGCGGTACATGGCACGACATTCCATTTTTTTACACAAAAACTATCAATTTTAGGAAAAAAACTAAAGAGACAAAAAAGTACCATTAAAGAATGAGCTTTATAACCAATATTTTTTTATGTTAATACTCCATGGCGTTAAAAAGTTCTTCTAAAAAGAACCAAGGGGGTGGTGAATTTCATCCCCTTAGAGGGCGCTAGGGAAGCTTAAGGTATGCTAGAAAACAAGATGTTAACCAGTAGTAAATACATACCAAATTTCAAATTCTTCGGTTTACTTATAGCCGAAATAAATAATAAAATGTAAATTTTTAGCTCAACTTTGATCGCTCATAGCTCGAAAACAAAAGAGTTGCGACCCTATGTTTATATAAAAAACTTGTGTTATTTTGGCAAGTACTACGTCCTAGTAAAGTTTCCCGATTAAAAACTGAACCACCCTGTATATAAAAACTCTCGTATATTTGTAAAATTCTTGCTTATTTTTAGGAAGAACCATCTACTATACATGTAAAATATTTGTTGTTATAAATCAAATATCAAAAGTTATTTATCTTTTGTTGAAATTTGCAAAAATCACAATAAGAATGTTTCCAATTTACACCCACTCGAACGTCTACCACGTGCACTGATTTTCTGTGTTTACCAATACAACGGTTAATGGCTCAGTTACCAAATCATCTTTTTTCAGGCAAATATTATTTGTTTAAATAATGTTGTACTTTTGAGTACCGTCAGGCGACAAAGGGTTAAAGAAGATTATTTAAGGTACACGAAAATAACACAATTATTTTCTTCTCCCCAAATAATCGATTTGTAATTAATTAATAAACGTTTTTGAGACTGTTAAAAAATGTTTGAGGTAAGCTTATTCCAATTTTTATTTAAGTAAGAGTGAAAAAGTTTATGTAAAAAATTAAAAAAAAAAAAGATTTAATTTTAAAAATAACGTTAAGGAGATAAATTTCCCTGAAATGACTTGGAATTGAAAAATAAAACCTTTGAGAGATTGTGAAACATGGTTAGAGATTAATATTTAAAAATCGTCGAATTCAATTCCCAAAAATGAAAGATAAAATAGATAGACATTTTTTAAATCAAATTTTTACTTAGAAATCATCAATACTTTCTGCATGTAAAATCGATATGTCGATTTACAAAGTGAAATTTTCTCTTTCTTTGCAGAAAATAGAAGAATCCAGATTAAATATCAACCCATATCTTTCTCTCCGTAGTTAAAAGTATTACAATAATTAAATGAAATATAAAATGTATACTTACCAATAAAGTTAATCTTAAAAAAATGAATTTTGTTTTAAAAAAACAATAAAACTAAGAAACACACAAACTTTTGTTTTAAAATTCTGTGTTAATTTAACCTAATCGTCCGTTTACAGTTCAAAGTAAACATTTGCTTTCGTTTCTTCCGTTTTCTAACGGGCACAACCGTATCAATTGTCATACAAATATCGTTTTCTGGCGCACTTTAACAATTAATTGTTTTATAACTATCGGCGAAGTGGTGAATAGAAATGAAGAACTAAAACCAGATGAAACTATCGTTGAAAGGTCGTAGTAATCCAAACGAAACCGTTTCGCCTACTGGTGTCGACGAAGAAGTTGGTTCTTGAGTCGCGTTCGTTTCTGGTACACCTCTGGAACACAAATTGGGTCAACGATGACCGTGAAAGTAGAAGCGAGGAGTTCTGAACTGTACTTGAATTCTCCACGTCTTCGGTCTTTCGATTCACGGTCACGTCAAAACGAACGGTTTTGTGGCTTCCTTTAATCCTTTAAATTTATTTATGTATGTATATTTATTTTAAAGTTTTAAATTGAATTTTAAAGCTTTTAATCGTCAAGTAAAAATTGTCTCAAAGATACGCTTTAAAAAAAGAACTAGGTAAAGAGAAAATCGTTTAAGAATAAAAAGAAATTAGAAAAGTATTACAAAGAAAATAATTAAAATTCATCATACAACGATTTTATGGCTTAACCGTATTTGTTTTTAATTTATTTAAAATATTAATAATTTAAATTATTACTTTACAAAATTGACTTGTGTAGAATTTAGATATAAAAATGAGAAATGGGTTTAAAAATATAACGCTGATAATATAATTGTTAGTGTTCATGAATTTACACAACAGTAAAAGCGATACGTAATAATAACAGCATCAATGTTTAAAAAATTACTTGAGGTTGACCTTTAATAAATAATAATGATAAAAAATTCGTATCGTTTCTAATACACGGAGCGGATTTGTATAACTGTAAACTTGTCAAAATTATAATTTAAAGAATAGGCACAGTACAATACAATTATTCTACTTTCTGTTGGCAAATTTAGTTTAATTCTTCTAAACGTTATTAAACTGAACTTTATTTAATATTAAACTAATAAAACCTTCAAAATGTGTTTTTGTTACAGCTTTAGATTTTCTAAGTCAGAGGCGGCGCTACCGGGGGGTGCAAGGGGTGCACTGCATCCGGGCGCCACTTAAAAGGGGGCGCCGGCTCCTTTTTAATATTTTCTCCAACAATATCTTATCTTTCTTTTGCAGTATTTATACCTGTCAGCAGTAGCTAGTCTTCAGAAAGCAGTATTTAGTCTCCACAAAGCAATTTTAGTCTTTAGAAAGCAGTATTTAGTGTTCCAGACGCTGTATTTAGACCTGTCGGCGACCGTTGGTT